GTGGCTTCTGGGTAATACCAGATGGCTAGGCCTCAGACTGACGAAGCCTCTTGGATGAGGGGCGAAACGTATCTTTTTAACAAAAAAACGAAGTCCAGATGACATGATTCAACCTTTTTTGTTGTTATATACCTGGATGACTGAGAAAACAAACTTTGTGAACATACATCCTACTTCAAAATGTTTTGTCCGCATCATACGGTATCCTTTTATATTTTTTTTTGGGGGGGGGGATAGTTTCCTCAGTGGTCCACACTGCTCACACACCTGGAGCAGAACTCTTACATCCATATGCTCTTTGTGGACTTCACATCCGCCTTCAACACCATGATCCCCCAAACCCTGACGGACAAACTATCCACACTAGGACTAAGCCCCTCCATTTGCAACTGGGTCCTGGACTTCTTAACAAACAGACCACAGTCAGTGAGGATCCACAACTTCTCTTCCTCCACCATAACCCTCAGCACTGGCTCTCCTCAGGGATGTGTGTTGAGCCCCCTCCTGTTTACTCTGCTCACGTATGATTGTGCAGCTACCCATCCAGGCTGTCACATTGTAAAGTTTGCAGATGATACAGCGGTGGTGGGATGCATCACAAACAATGATGAGTCCAGCTACAGGCAAGAGGTGGAACACCCGGAGAGCTGGTGCAAAGAGAATAACCTTCACATCAATGTGAAGAAGACAAAGGAGATGGTCATGGACTTCAGAAGGAACATAAACATCTACACCCCCCTGAACATAAGAGGATCTGAGGTGGAAGTGGTCTCCAGCTACAAGTACTTGGGTGTGCACCTGAACAACAACCTCAGCTGGAGCAACAACACCACCAGCCTGATGAAGAAAGATCATCAGAGACTCTACTTCCTCAGACGGCTGAGACGAGCTGGTCTGGAAGCTCAGTCCTCACCTCCTTCTACAGGTGTGCAGTGGAGAGCATCCTGTGCTCCAGCATCAACGTGTGGCATGGAGGCTGCACAGCTGCAGAAAGAAAAGCTTTGCAGAGAGTGGTGAAGGCTGCACAGAAGATGTTGGAGTCAGCCTCCCCACCATCACAGACATCTACACCTCCAGATGCAGGAAGAGGACCACCTGCATCATGAAGGACCTCACTCACCCAGCACACACACTTTTTGCCCCACTCCCCTCAGGAAGGAGGTTGAGGAGCATTAAGTGTAGAACCACTAGACTGAGGAACAGCTTCTACCCTGAGGCTGTTAGGGTTTGTTTCATGTTGCTGCTGATCTGTTTCATGTTGATGTATTCATGCGTGTTCATCTGCTCACAGACTCATGTTGCTGCTGTTTCATGTAATGTTTTATGTTATGAGTGCTTAGTGTATATTTAGTTGATGTTGTTCTTAGTTCATATCTTAGATGTTATTACTGTTTTTCTTTTACATTTTATTGTTGGATGTAACTGGGACCCTGTGGACATAATTTTGTTCCACCACATGTGATGCAAATGACAATAAAGCCTCTCTGACATTAAATCGTTGGCAGATAACCAGACTTACCTCAGGACTAACAGAGTCCAACATTAGAAGTGAGAAATCTTAACGCAGACCAGTTTCCTTCGTCCTCGGGAAAGATTTCCCCGTCGTCTGTCTTCATTGTGATCCGCCAAACAACTCGTGTTCCACCAAAGATCTTGTGTTTAGACAGAAACCTTGATGTTTTCTAAAGTCCAGGCAGAGGGACAGTTTTCATTCAACCTTTATTTAAACAGCTTAGTCCAATGAGCCACGAGGACTCATTTACAAGAGAGACCTGACATTATGCCATGTCCCACACCTCTGACCCCCCATGTAAAAACCCTCTTCTGAACTAGATGGTTCATATAAATGACATGTTTTGAATGAAACGAGTGATTTTCACTGAAAAGGGACACGTTTGTTCTCAGTGTTGTGGGTGTACAGACAATAATTAACATCTATCCACTGGATCATGGGATATTTTGCTAACAGACAGAACACGTGCTCAGTTAAGAGCCGAGCGTTCGGCGTGGTGGATCTTTCTGTGTGCTTTCAGGCTGTGGCTCTGGGTGAAGGCCCAGTCACAGAGGGAACACCGGTACGGCTTCTCCCCGCTGTGCGTTCTCATGTGGACAGTCAGGTACGTCTTGCGGGCGCAGCATTTCCCGCAGATCCCGCACACGTGCGGTTTGGCACCCGTGTGGATCACGAGGTGCTCATCGAGGTTGTACTTGCGTTTGAAGGTGTGGCCGCAATAAGAGCAGCGGTACGGCGACTCTCCAGTGTGGACACGCAGGTGCATGGACAGCCGCCCCTTGGTGGTGAAGCCCCGCCCACATTCGTCACAGCGGTAGGGCCTCTCGTCGGTGTGCGACCTCATGTGGATGATGAGCTGCTTGCTGGACAGGAACATCTTGCAGCAAACGTCGCAGAGGTACGAGCGCTCCCGCTTCGTGTGGATCTTCTCGTGCTGCTTCAAGGTGTAGGGGAGCTTGAAGCTCCGCCCACAGACTTGACAGCGGTGCGGCCTCTCGCCGGAGTGCGTCATCTTGTGGCGGGATAAAGATCTCTTGTCGCAGAGCAGTTTCCCGCAGACGCCGCAGAGGAAGGGTCTGGGCTTGCTGTGAGTCCTCTGGTGGTCTCTGAGCTGCAGTTCCAGGCTGAACACCTGGTGGCAGGTGGGACACCTGTGACCTGGATCATGGAGTTTATGGTGGTCCTCAAGTGTTGCCTTCAGCGCAAACGAGCTGCCACACACCTCACAACTGTGCGGTTTCTCCCCAGAGTGTGCTGCCACGTGCTCGTTTAGGCTGAGGGCGCCCAGGAAAGACTCCCCGCAGATGGGACAGTCCTCGACTCGGTGGCGGCTCTGGATATGACCCGCCAGCGCCTCGGCGGACTCGCCACACACCCCGCAGACACTTCCTGCTTCCTGCTCGTGACTCCAGGCGTGTCTGACCAGCAGAACTTCAGAGCTGAGGGGAGCTCTGCACACTTTACAGGAAAAGGCAGCGCCGTTGTCCCCGGAGGCGTCCAAACGTTTTAGTCTTTGTTTCTTGATGGTCTCCGACCGTTTGGACTCTCTCCTCCTCTTCTTCTGTTCTTCATCGTTCCCTTCTGGTTTCCAGCTGCTGTCGCTGTCAGAAGCGTCTTCATCGTCTCCTCTGGTAAGTAAATCGTCACTTTCACTCCCGGCGGAGGTGGGCACCGCAGAGCCTTCATCTGGTTGTATTGACCCATCATCATCATCATCCTCCTCAGCTTCCAGACTTTGTTGCAAACTGGACGAGTCGCCTTCAAGCTCCTGACAAGACCTGCTGAGGGAACCAGGAGAAAGAGTTCAATGTTTTATTAGAAAACCTGCCGAGTCCACAAGAAACAGTTCATAAAACCAAGAAAACCTTCAGCTTCACTTTGATCTCACTCCATCCACGTCTTTATGTGTAGCTATCATGTTGGGTCAAGGAGTCCAGTCCTGGTTCTGATGCGACACGATCCTGCATGTGTCAGATGTTTCTCTGCCCCAGCACAAAAGATTTAAATCAATGGGTGACCAACAGACTTCTGCAGAACAGAACGAGGTGATTCAACCAAACAGGGGAGTTGGTTGGCCAAGAGTCGAACGGTCGGCTTGACGGCCGCTGAATTTGAATTGGACTGAACGGTTGGTGAAAACCTGGACTATGACTGTCAGAACGGAACATCAGGCAGGAGGTAACGAGGAGGAAACATCTGGAACTGGACACCCGTATGCAGTGAAAATATAAAGGAAGGAGGTGTCGGGTTGATTCTTAGAAAAGCAGGAGTTTAAAATGTTAGAGTCAGGAAAGAGGATGAATCTGCACCCAGATGTCTGGAGAAATTAACAAATGGACGAAAGTGCTGAGGGATGGAAACTCCATAACGTGTAAAACTGAAGAACAAAATAAAGTGTTTCAAATAACTACAGAAAGAATCAGGGAGTAAAAGTATGAAACATCTTTAGTTGGCAGCTCAGACACCACATACAGAACACCATGGACTTTGTGGATAAGGTGAGGGATGTCATCATGGAGACTGATGAAACAATGGTCTCTTTTGATGTCACATCACTCTTTACGTGCATTCCTGTTGATGATGCAGTAGAGGTGGTCAGTTTAAAATTAAAATCAGACACCACTCAGAGCAGCAGGACCACACTTTCCACAGAACAACTGTGTCAACTCTTGAAACTGTGCCTGCAGTCAACCTACTTCACATATGGGGAGCAATATTATAGGCAGAAACATGGGTGTGCTATGGGGTCTCCAGTTTCTCCTATTGTTGCCAACCTGTACATGGAGGAGGTAGAAAAGAGAGCCTTGACGTCCTTTTCAGGGACACCACCAAGTCATTGGTTCAGGTATGTTGAGGGGGTATCAGAGAAACTGAGACGTTTATTTTCTAAACATAACGTCCCAGTGGCTTTTAAACCCCAAAATACATTAAAGACTGGTTCATCCCAAAGATCCAGTCCCCTGGCACAAACAGAGTAATGTTGTGTATGTTGTTCAGTGTCAGGAGGGTGATCAGTCTTACATCGGGGAAACTAAACAGCCACTGGCCAAAAGGATGGACCCTGATCCTGGTTCTGCTAAAGGTTTCTTCCTCATGAGGGAGTTTTTCTTTCCACTGTCGCCTTCATGCTTGTTCAAGATGAGAGTTCAGTGATGGAGTTAAACTAAAAGCTGCTCCTCAGATAAATAATGTTAATTATTATTTTATACATGAATGTTTCTGTTTAATTATTATTTTATAGATGAATGTTTCTGTTCAATTATTATTTTATAGATGAATGTTTCTGTTCAATTATTTTTTTATACATGAATGTTTCTGTTAAATTATTATTTTATACATGAATGTTTCTGTTAAATTATTATTTTATACATGAATGTTTCTGTTAAATTATTATTTTATACATGAATGTTTCTGTTCAATGCCTGAGACGATTCTGTTGTGACTTGGAGCTGAAGAAATAAACTGAAGTGAATTTAAACGTGCCCTGCACCTGAGGAGTCTCCTCCGTGCACCACCTTAAAGAACAAGAGGAACTTCACAGGACGCGAGTTGGAGATGCTTGTGATGAGGTGGAGGATCGTAAAAACATTCAGTTTGTCTCGCGGTCCTCTGGCGTCAGCTCCAAGCTAAGAGGAGCGGGACCATGAAACTGTAACTGCTGTGGAGTCAGAGCTGCAGACATGAAGAACAAAGGATCAGACAGATTAAAGTCCCCCATCCTGCACCGTGCCAGCATTTAGTCTGTTCCCTTGACTCAAGCGTACGCCACGTTTCAGCAGGAAGTCCACGCAGGTCTTTGGACATGAGACCAGGACTGGACCGTTAGAGGAGCTCAGAGACCTTCACTGACCTTCACTGACCTCATGTCTTGTGTTGTTCCTTCACTCGATGCGTCACAGATGCTGGTCTTCATCTGAAGAAGCTGAACCTCCTCCTGAGCTTCACTTTGTGCCTGAAAGATAAAACGAGAGCTGAAGTCCAGAACTAAGACCAACCTCCAACAGTTTCTGGTGACCTACCTTCAGCCGGACGTACACCGTGGACTTCATGGTTCCCTGGACCTCCTCTGGGGTCAGACTCTTCAGTGGCAGAGGCTGAAGCCTCCGTCTCTGGTCCGGGGCTAAAATGTCAAAATGTTTGTCTCCAGCGAGCTGAGGGACGGAGGATCTCAGCAGGTCCAGGACTTTGTCCTCCTGCAGACCTGGAGGACACGTCACGGCGATCATCTGACATTTCTTCGTCACTGACAGATGAGAAACAGAATGAAAAACATCAGAAATAACTTGAGGAACATCTGCACGTTGGACCAACAAAATTAATCTGTGGATCCAGAATCACTGAAACATCTGGACCTGACTGAGGAGAACACAGGACAACTTATGGTTGCAGAATCTTTCCATCTGATGGAGCTTAGCTTGGAAAATGACTGACACCTTCTGTAGAAGGATGAAGACCGGGTCCAGAGGACCTGACCTTCTTACATGATGGAGCAGCATCTCAAAGTGTCAGAAAACTCTACGTTACCGTTTTTAGACAGAACACGGACGTTTGGATCCTCCAGGACACCGACGCTCAGCTTTATGGTCTCCTGGGTCTTGCTGGTCCAAGTTCTGCCACACCTCCTGCTCACAGATCCACACGGAGCCTCTGGAGACCTTCAACATGAAGGAACATGACGTTCACCTGGATTATGGAGCATGAACTTTGGAGTCTTCAGCATGAAGGTTTGTGAGTGAATCTAATGGAAACAACGATCCTCCCTCAGAAGAACATAAAAACAAGCGTAAAGAACCTTTTGGGACCAGCTGGGTCGGAACCCTTCACAGGCTCCTGGACCTCTTCATCTCCACCCTCCTCTTCGTCAGCAGCCTGCTTCCTGCTGGTCTGTAAAGCTGCACCAGACATTTCTGTGTAAGAGCTTTACTTTGACACGGAACAAAATTATGGCCTGTTATTACATTTAGTACCAAAGATAAAAATTAATGGAGCTAACTCCAGATGTTATCAGACAGCTGCACGTGTTTCATAACATCTGTGCTTTATTTAACTTTAAGCACATATGGAGTTCTACACGCTGGTTATATTCAGTCTTTAAGCTGATTAAAAGGTTAATTATGAGTGTTGTAAAACAGCCGAATTAAATAATAACTATTACTTTTTAATAAAACAGTTTATTTTAGTTTTAGAATTGAAGCACAATAATTGTTTTCTTGAGTAAATTTAAAATGTGCATATTTTGAACGGAGTTCTGCCTGCTGGTGACGTCAGCCTGCTGGTGACGTCAGCCCTGTGAAACCCACGCACCGTGGGCACCGACACAAGCCGGAGGCTGCAGCCGCTCCAGCTCGCTCCTCTGCCGGAGGATCTCCAGCTTGAAGCCCGAAGCCTCCTCCTCGTAGGCGGCCACCACGGTTTCCAGCACCGCTAGGATCTCCCGGGAGGCGGCGGACAGACGCTCCGTGACGAACCCCCGCAGCGTGTCCGCCTTGGACATTTCAGCCGAACCCTCCGGTGTCGTTTGATTCATCGCCGAACCCTCCAGAACCGAATTTTACTCGTTTACTTCTTCTTCTACTGAACAAACTAATGTAGTTTCACTGATGGAGCCTCGTTTCCGCCCCCTACTGGTGAAGTGTGAGAATGTCCCTTGTTCCAATCCAACTCGTCGTTTATTTATTTATTATTTATTTAGTTAGTTTTAACTTCTGTATCGTTTTAAGAACTTCAACAAGGTTGATCATTTCCCTGCTTTAAAATATATCTATAGACTACAAATAGCTAATAATAGATAATCTGTAGACTGGAGTTGTCTCAGTACCAGGACGATTCTGTTCGTTCTTTTAATCCAAACTCACAAAATCCAGTCCAGATGTTTAAAATGTTTTAACTAGCTCTGTTTGTCAAAGTTTATAAAATGAGAATTTGAAGTTTTATTCAAAGGGCAGATTAAAACAAACAACAAGTTTTGAACAAAATATTATACCATACCATACCACTTTATTTATAGAGCACTTAAAACAGCTACAAGACCAACCAAAGTGCTGTACAGACAGAACAACAGGTAACACACAAAGCAAAATACAAAATGAGGTCAATCAGAATATAGACATAAAAACGATGCAGATAATGACGACAAACCAGTGTGGAGCATACAGGATCAAAACACAGATCATCTGGTGTTGAAAGCTGCTGAACAGTAGTGAGTTTTTAAACAGGACTTGAAAACAGAGAGGGAGGGGGCCTGTCTGACAAGCAGAGGTAACTCATTCCAACGGCTTGGTCCTGCTACAGAGAAGGTCCTGTCACCTCTGCACTTAAGACGAGTTCCTTGAACTGTGAGGAGCAACTGGTCCGCTGACCTCAGGGAGCGTGGTGGGACATACGGTTGTAGCAGATCAGAGAGATGGGGGGGGGGGGGGGGGGGGGGG